CAAACTTGTAAGGGCACACAGCCACAGCGTAGACAGAATGTCTTAGCTGTGGAGATTCAACTCCCTGGCTTGTTGCATCCCAAGTAAGGAACATGCATATAGAACCTGAACATGGAGCAGCATTACAGATCAGTGGCTTAAGAGAACTTGTGACCCTGAGAATCACAATTCCTTCTGTCTCTTCTCCATCTGAAGATCTAATTACCACAGCCTTTGAAAAGGTTGAGCTTAGGAACCCAAGACTGAAAGAGACCACTGAAAGGGTGACTGCATTCAGTTTCACCTTTACTGCCAGCAACCAAGTGATAGATGACTTGCTCAGAAAGGTTCACAGAATGTGCATTCCACATGACAGTACAAATATATATTTTTTTCCTACAATCTAAAATAATCAAACTGTTGTAAAATGAACAAAAAAGACAATTAAATCCACATGCAGACAAGAAATAAAACCAAGTTAATAAGAAATATTTTAGGTTCCTGTAACTATGGGAAGTTAGATAAATAAAGTTACACAGCAAAGCCATATCACAGGAAAAAAAAAAAAGCAGGACACAATACTTCACATCTTATCTGGGAATGCAATCTCCTCTGTCATAAACATTCGAATAGCTTAAGGCTGAGCAGCAGTGCCATTAGGCACTTCAGGATGTTCATTACAATGATGCTGCTAATCACCTCAACAGTTTTCCTGTGTGCAGCCAATATTTTATTAGAAGGCCAAAAGGTACATCAACAAGCTAATTCACAATCCATACAAGATAATGCTTCCCAGTGACCTTAACAGAAGCAAAATGGCCCAAAAGCATGATATTAAGGCTTTCTGTCGCAGCTTCAGAAACTCTGCTCTGTTGTACAATCCTATCAATAAATACAGCAATTGACATCTAAAAATATCAAAGCATTACCCCCTTGTTCCCTCTTGTGTGCTTGGTTAAGTTTTCTAGAATTTCACCTCTCATTGCACCTTTTTGTAGTGCCTCATCTAAATTTATTGAGATAAACACATGTGAGAAACACATATCTTCACTTCCTTCTCCTGCAGTGTAACACATCACCTTCCTTGCCTTTGTAACTAACACACTTGTAACTGGTGGTCAATACCAAAATCTAGAAAACAGATGGCTCTCCTATCCCTGCTTGCTTGGCTGAGAGAAGACACATGTGTTGATTAAAAGAGCATGTACACCCTTTTAACTTATGTACTTAATAAAACATGACCTAGATCAGGAGTTGCATGATACTATTTAATTTCTTTAAGACACATGGTCATCTTCCATTTTGCACCTATAACTGAACTGAAACAATAAAATTCACCTAATTCATAATCTTAATGCAAAAAGCTCATGTTTGGTGACATCCAGCACTGAGAGGGGTTTCATTTTCTGAAGGCTTATAGGCTTAACTATATCAACTGTTGAGAATCTCAGCTGATACCTGAATTTACATATAATTCTAAGTCATTCCAAGTAATTTGTTACTAATAGTGGGTTTAACAGCTGTTTATGTAAAACATTATGAAAGCTTTTAAATTACTGGATTTATTCAAGTCTTTTGATTCTTTTTTAATATTCAAACCAAAACGGATTATAATCTGTTTATCCTCTTTGTCAAGGTGCCTGCAGAAAAAGAAAAATAAAGTCAGTCGTTTCTGTGTGAAACACATAGTGCACGATGCTCCTATGAATGGCATAAAAAATAGGTAAGTGAATCCATGCTTCAAGCATAATATCAAATAGTGGAATAGGAAACTGCAATTATTGAATCAAAAGTATTACCTATTAAAACACTTCAGCATATTCTGAAGCTTTTGCTCTCCAGGAAAGAACTCAATCGCTTAAATTTTTCAGTGATGTACAAAACTTTCAGCCTCAAAGTAAAGAAAGCTCAAAAAATGTAGAAGTTAAGAAAAGGTTAAGAGGACCAAGTACATAAAACATTGTGCTGCATACTTAATAACCCCGTGGCACCTGAGTATTTTCACTTTATCTCACATTCAAGAACAATAAAATCAATGAGATTTTAATGTATTATTATAAAACCAGAGGAAATTATTTGTTTGGCATTAAGTAGGGCTCTCTATAGGCAGCTAACTTACAGTTGCTTAAAAACCTGGACATGCAGATATATATCTGACATATAACACCATATATCTGCTTTGGTGTATGCCCAGATAGGAACTTTAATTAATTTTAAAAATGTACAGGAAGCTAATTGTGTTCTTCAGACTTTACAGGATTCAATTCTAGTTACCAAATTACATCTTAGTTATTGAATCCGAGCTCATATCTCAATAGGTATACATCAGGTTTGTAGGAGTATAATTAATTATTTGTATTCGTAGTTACTGCACCTCAACTACAGTATGCTTCCCACAACTCTAAAGTTACTGAAGTCTTCATAACTCAAAACCAGCTTCAAATAAGTAATAAAAAAATAGTAGCAAACAAAAAATCAATTGCATGATTCTCAGTATCAAATTCTCAATATCAAATTTTCACTCCCTTTCAAGGAAAAAAAAACAACCCAACAAAAAAACCAAATACTACTGGTGAGTCATTCGACACAGATTTTTAAGACAGCTCAAACAAAACTTAGATCAGCACATTCTCTTACTTATCTATCTAGAAAACTATGCTCTACCATGAATTAAAAGTTGCTTGGACTTTTGCTTAATTTCATTGTGTTAGTGAAAAGACTTAGTCACGCAGAATAAACCTAAACAGTTGTCTATATTGGGAAGATTTTCCTTTGTTTGAACACAGCTTTGATAAATCAAGTAAGCTAACATCACACTGATTATCACTGATGAGCCACAGTAAAGCAAAGAAAATTGAGGTCATCAGCCTGTCAGCAGTGTGACAGTCTTGAAATGTGTACCATAGGATTTGTAACCCAGACCATTTAACCCTAAAAATGTTCAGCTTCTGTGATTGCCTATGACGTATTTCTGCTTTAAATACTGTAAAGTTTAGCAAAACCCTTTTTTTCCCAGATTAAATGGTAATTTAAATGCTATAAATAGTGTTTTTCTCCCCTTTTTAGGAGGCTAGAAGTAATAGAAGTTGTGATCAACTACTTTTTTTCTAATGAGAACAATAAATCAAGGTAACAAGAAAAAGCTACATCCATTGAGTAATAAAGGTTTAACTCTGTCACCATACATACAATTTAAAACCAGCTTTTCAGAATATTTGCTAATTAGAAATTTGATAAACCTACCTCAGGTACCACTGTCATACAACATCTTTACTCACCCTCTAAGTATTTGTCACAAGTGTACACTCCTACAGCGGAATCACATTCCTTCTCAAGACAGCACAACACTACCATTTTAAGTATTGAAAATAGTATTTTAATTCCTTTTAAGAGGTTAACACTTTTTTTGACATACTGTATTCAGGATTCTACCTCTATTGATTCTAGCTATGTTCCTACCTAAGTGTGCTACAAAAGAAACTATAAATATTTTCTGGAAACGAAACTGGAATATTAACTTGTTGCACAGTGTTTATTGCAGAAACAAAACACCCGTGGGCCTTTCTAATACTCATATATTGTAAAGTTATAAAAAAAATCCAAGAAACTGAAAGCATGGGAGCCATTTTCTTAAATCTGCAAAGGAACCAATTTAATAACTACACATGGAATTTTTAAAAGACATTGAAGGTGCCACACACAATCCTTTTCCTAGCCTACACAGGGCCTAAGCAGCATTATCATTACCAAATGAGACAAGGTAAAAAAGAGAAAACCAATCCAAAACTCAAAAATCTTTGAAAGTCAAATTTTATTATTCAAAAGGTACAAGTAATGGCCAAGGATGTTTTATTTGTCTTCTTATTTCCCAGATAGAAGGTGTGAGAAGCATTCTGTGCCTAAATTTCACACAAATGTAGGGTGAATGTACTTGTAAGGGATAGGTTTTGGGGGTAAGTAAGATGCTTAAAAAGGCTAAATTAAAATTCAAACATAGCTATGTGACACCTACAGTTAAGATTTTAAAAGGCCCCACTAACTTGCTACCATGGTGAAGCATTGCCAATTCAAATGAAGGCACTGTTAGGAAAAAAAAAATTGCTGCAAAGCCTATCTACAAACAAGACAGGACTTCCCCTATGTGAAGCTGCAATTAACCACTGCCCTCACACAGAACAGCATAGCAGTGCACATCTTCAAGCCAGTATGTCACCTCAGGAGCCTGACACAGCTCTTTCCATGTCTGCAATTGGTGCTTCAATGATCTTCATGCCCAGTGGAGAGTCACCTGCATAAAAACATACAAAAGGAAAAAACTGATGAGGTTACGTGCCCTCTTTCCCTCCCAACTACCCAGTAAAAATCAGATGATGTGCCAAGGCAGGAAGAAGAGCCTTGTTTCTTGAACTTCAGAACTTCTGGAATGTTTCAGAAAAAAATACCCAACACCTAAACCAGCCTTCAATTAGCCGTTCCTGCACTAAGCAACCTGTAAGAGATTTTCTCCTTCCTCACAGATTTTTTTCTCCTCATTACTTTACTCTTTCCTCACAGTTTTACACAGATTTACACCTTTTTTTTTTTTAACTACCATCTGGTGGTAATATTACCCCTGTATATCTCTACACAGGCATGCAGAAGACACACTGTCTAATGTGTCAACTTGAGACCAACTATTATGTCTTTCCCGCCAGCAGCACTAAACGGGATTTAAGAATCACGAAATAGGCTTGGTTGGAAAGGACCACCGCGGGTCTGGTCCAACCTCCCTGCTTAAGCAGGGGCATCCCAGAGCACACTGCACAGAATTGCATCCAGACGGTTCTTGAATATTTCCTCCACAAACTCTCTGAGCAAGAAGCGCTGTTCTGCAAGAGAGGAGGCCCCAAGAAGAGAAATGGACTTTGCTGAAAAAGTAGAACAAGACAGACAAAGGTACCGCTGACCCGGCCCGGCCCGCCCCAGGAAGCTGCCACAACCGCCGCCCGTCCGACCGCCCCGTGCCGCTCCCGGCCCGGCAATCTGGCCCCGCGGCGGCTCCATCTGCCTCGGCTCCTGCTGCGCTCCGGCTGCTCTGACTCGCCATGGCCGCTTCCTCCTCCTCCTCGGCGGCCGCGCTGCGCCCGGTCACTCACCTGATCTTTGACATGGACGGGCTGCTGCTGGGTGCGTAGCCTGAGCCCCTCTCCCCTCCACGGCCGGGCCCCCGCTCTGCCCCGCGCCGGTGGGCTCCACCGCGCCGCCAGGCCCGGCCCGCCTGCCCAGACAGCTTGAAGCCGTAGCTGGCGGCGGGCAGCCGCTTTCCTTTCCCTTCCCTTCCACCTCCGCCTCCCGCGGCCTCAGCGGCCCCCGCTGCACTGCTCATTCATGGCCTCCTCGCTCCGGGCGGGCAGCCAGAACGCCTCGGGCGGCGCTGCTAAAACCAGAGTGAAGGGGATTAAAGCAACAGGAAACGAATTCATTCCTTCTCCTTCCGCTACTTGCTGCCTTTCGGGGGCAGATTTCGCCTTAAAGTAACAGAGCTGGGACTGCTCTGGCTGGCGGAGGGCTGAGCGAGGTTGGGGTGGCTGTGGGGAGAGCGGTGAGGGGCAGCCTGGGGCTGAAAGGCAGGGAGAGCGGGTATGGAGGAGAACGGGCATGCAGTGTGGGGCTGAGGGACCCCCGGGCCGCGCACTACCGAAGGCCGGGAGCAGCGGGTCTCGGGGGACAGCACAGCTCTCGGCAGCGTTTAGAGCTATCTGCTCCAGCTGAACAGCCTGAAAACCGCTATGATAGTCTTCTCTTAGCCTTGGTATCAGTAGACTTTCTGCTTTTGCAGGGTTATTGTTCTGTAACCTGACACGTCCCGTGCTAGTGCTACAGATCGATTGGATCTTGAGGTTTTTGAGGTTTGAATAGTCGCTATAACTAGTCTCAAATAGCCTGAGGACACACACACACGCACACACGCACACACACACATACATACATGCATACATACATACATATATATATATGTGTGTGTGTATGTGTAATCCTATGATCCGGAACCAATTATTTTAATTTCATTCTTAGAAGTTTCAGGAAAGCTTTTTTTTTATTTACTACTGCTCTTTGTCAGAAGCTGGAAATCTACTTCACACAGACAATAGTCAACAGGACAGTATTGGTAATTATTCACGTATGTGATTTGTTCTATTTTAAAAAGTTACATAAAAAGTATGTATTATATTTCAGAAATCTTCCAGGTGCAAGGAGTTAGACTGAAAATACTCTTCAAATATCTTCCAGTACAGAGGAGTAAAAGTGACAGTACCTAGGTGATTTTCATAATGTGCACTTCATTTCAGAGGACTTCAGTTTGTTTCAGCCTCTGAATACTATGATGCTATGAAACCTTTAACATTTTTGGTGAACCTGTTTGTTTTGTGATGAGCAATGACCCTTGGGAGGCAAAAAGGCAATCAGGAGACTGCTTGGACTGTCGCAAGATTCCTAAATATTTCAAGAAATTTGGAATAATTTGGGGGAAAGAATGATAAGAGGTATACACAAATTAGGTTCATTCTGCCCAACCTATGTACTGTAAATCTTCTGAATGAGACAAATGGTCATATTGATGTTAACCTACATAAGAACCCCATAATTTTCTTATAAAATTTTTAATGTGTCATATAGTGTTCATTGGAGGTGATAAAATGAATAACATACATATTTCAAGAAGCTACAGAAATAGGCCCAAAATTACTTCCTTTCAAGAGCACAGATAAAAGTTTTGGTATTGAATATTTATTATTACTAACTTTTGTAAGTGCCCCCGTAGTTGGTTGCAATTTTTAGAATCTGAAGCTTCAGGTTTTGAAAAAAAATTCCCCAGCAAACTAGTGTCTGCGAATGTACATGACTATTTTTAGATGTTTTCACCTAAACCCTACTGATTTTATAGAACAAATATAAATTGATCTATAAATGATGAGAAGAATTGAGCATTAAATTAATTTGATGTAATGTGCCATGAACTTGCTTTCTGTCATTGATATACTTGATATACTTGCTTCTCATTAGGGAAGGTAGGATATCTTCTGATAGAAAGATTTCCAAAATCCTTGTGAATGTAAAATCCTTAAATGAGATCTGAGGTGTTTAAAAGGTTGTTGACTTTGGAAACAATCCAAGTGTTACCCTATAGAACCTACATCCTATACTTTACTGGCTAATGCTTGGCTGTGTGAAGGTGTTGCTGAGTCTGATCAACTGATATTTTACCCCCCTCCCTCTGTAATATAATTGAGGCTGATTAAGTTGTCCTTGAGTCCCACCTTGATTATCGGCTTACTTTCAATAAAGAAGTTACTGCCTCTGAACTGCCTGTGGAACTGCTTCAACCCTTTCTTTCAGAGTCCTTCTGTATCATTGTTTCAAAGGTTATCTAATACCGTTTTTTCCTGCATTTCTAATCAATGCAATCTACCCTTTTTTTTTTTTTTTTATTATTACTTAATCTTTCTCTTTTAGCTCTTGGATGAAATCTTAGGGGTGATCACGCGCTGTTCACCCGTCTGTCAGCTTCCTGCAGGCTCCCCTCTGTAACGCTCTGCTGCATGACACCTCCCAAGGTCAGGTGGAGAAAAGCCTCTCTGTGCCTCCACCTGCTCCTTTGTGCCTCCATGTGCTTCTGCAGGCACCTGCCACAGCCCACAGCTCAACTCCATCCCATCTTTTCCCGAAACATAAGGATCATTGAGTTCAGCTCCTCACAGGACTTCTGAAAACTAAAACAGAGGACAAAGAGCCTTGTCCAAACACTCCTTGTACTCTGACAGCCTTGGTGCCATGATGCTTGGGGGAGCTTGTTCTACTGACTGATCACCCTCTCACTCAGCTTCATTAAATAGTATAATTGATTAGTGTTGCACTGTATAGTAGAAACCAGAGGAAAAGAAATTACTACATCTTAATTTTTGTTGTGCTGCCATACTTTCTCAAAAAAAACGCAACAATCCCCCCCAGCACTTCAATTAAAGCATTACATTTCTGAAGTTAAATTTCTACTTGATTTCCTACAGCAAATAATAACATCAAATGCTCAGAATAGTAGATTGCTTTTTCTTAAAATGTGATAGTCTATTCCTACAGAAGAGCACTGTTCTAACTGCTAATATGTGGTATCGTTAAAAATATTAAACCTACTTATGTGCGCACTTATTCAACACATAGTACAGGGTTAACAGGTAGTAGTAATAACAACAACAGAAACTAGAGATATTTGATACCTAAATAAATCCTGTTGTTACACTTGTACAGTTTGGATCCTGGCATTTTAGCATATTGTAAAAACATACAAAATTAATGCTAAAGATAGAGAAGGAAAAATTTATTTTACTTGTACAAAATATAGAACTAGAGTAATGCCCCCAGGATCTATCTTATAAACTTACTGCTTAGATTTCTTTTGAAGCTATGACAAGTGGTTTTGTTATATAATTGTAGCCAACAGCTACCCCACTACCAAAACACAAATAGGATTGAATGTTTCCTTTGTTGATCTGTGCTTAAACTTATAAGGGGCTGAAAACATTTAAAATTCTCTGCAAGCTGCATGTATAGTATTAACCTTTCCCAACTGACAAATGAACTTAGGAAAATGGCTGCAAAAATAAGATGTTTCCTAGCATTCTTAGCACTGTCCTTAAAGCTAGAGCTAAACTAACATGCAAAGAACATGACACTTCATTGTATGAAGTTTAGTCATGTATTTATTTTTGTTTAAATTTCTGCTAGGGGTCGGAATTGTTTTATTTAAATTATTGTCCTTGCCAGTGCCCCTTAGTGTTGGAAAACCATTGTGGGAATGGGCTGGCTAGGACTCAAGAGTCAGACAGATTTCCCAGTGAAGGAACCAGGCAGTAGCTTCAAGCCCTGGGAAACATAACTTAGGGAGAACCTTAGAATTCCTCCCATAGTTCCTAGTGTTGTTATGTTAAGCCATCCAAGTCCTACTCCCCTACTGGTTACTTGTGTTCCCTAAAAGGTTTTGTTACTAGAGTGTTCTGCCCCTGAGAGTATATAATGTTGCATCTTCCTTATTTCTCACCTTCTGGAGTTCAACCTTATACTACCTTCAGTTTCTGGGCGTCCATCCCTGTTTTATTTCTCATTAAGTTTCTTTTTTGGGCAACACTGCGACAAACACTATCTTTACATGAGATAAATCAGTGTGTTCAGGTAGGAGAGGTGGTTCCTAAAGGAACTTAGTTTTGCAAGATACCTTCACCATAACACAAAGTCATGTTGAACTGTATGGGCACAGGTATGGCAGCTTGTGACCATTTATAGAGGGATAAAAAGTAGTTAAGACAACTGGGATCAGAAGTTGCTGCTTTTATAGCCACTGTCTCCGTTGCCTGAAGACCACTGTGTTTTGTGCCACTTCTAAGACACTCCTGCATGTCTCGCCAGACAGGTCATCTCTGGTCAATAATATAGACAAAATTAGCTTGCAGTTAAATTCATTCTAGTGTTGTGAGATTCACAAGAATTTCAGCATGTTTTCTTTCTCCCCAGTGTTACCTACTTATTGTCACAAGGTCAGAAGTCAAAAATGTACTCTTACTTTCATTTTATTGTACAAGTTGCCTAGCAGATGGCTGTTACAAGAAAACTGATGAGAGTTCCATGCTGGAGTTTGCCTATGTGCATGCTGTCTTTTATTTAAAACAGCTTCCTATTTCTTCTGCATCCAATCAAATAACACCAATTCAATTAAACATCGGACCTCTCTAGATTGATCTATGCTTTAAGTGCAGGAATTATCTTCTTAGGCTATAACCTGGCAATCTTTGTAAGCCTATTTTCTGCTTCTGCATAGTGGAAACTTACTTTCTTGTCATTCTCACTTTCCATCTGATTTTGGGAATGAAGAAGGAAGGGAAAATACTTTCTTGCCCCTGTGTTCAGTATTTGTAATTCATTGCAAAACTAAAGAGATTAAGGATATTATTAGATTAAAATACCCTATAGATGCTTCATGAGCAAATCTTGGACATAAGTAAAACAGCTCCTCATTGAGAATTAACTAACCATAAATACAGTAAATAAGATTTGTCATATGCTTGAAAGCTAACATTTTAATTTAACAGCAAGAAAAATTTTGGCAAGAATATAACAAACATACTAACCCAGAGTCT